CCGGCTGACTTTCACCAGGCACCACGAGTCCCCCCGCCAGCAGCGCCCCCAGTGTACCACACTCACCGTGGCACGCTGCGTGTACAGCAGGACTCCAATGGTGATCTGGGCGGCGAAGAGGAGAAAGAGGAAACCAAAATACTGGTGGAGGAAGGAGAAAGGGGGTCAGTGGATCCTCTCACCCTCAGGGCCCCCCCCATTGGGAAACCCACAGACACCACCACCATAGTTCTCCCTCCCCCACACATGGACACACCCCTCCCATCATTTGCACCAGAAATGTACAGCAGGACTCCAATGGTGATCTGGGCGGCGAAGAGGAGAAAGAGGAAACCAAAATACTGGTGGAGGAAGGAGAAAGGGGGTCAGTGGATCCTCTCACCCTCAGGGCCCCCCCCATTGGGAAACCCACAGACACCACCACCATAGTTCTCCCTCCCCCACACATGGACACACCCCTCCCATCATTTGCACCAGAAACCCTGCCTCCACCCTGGGAGAGATCAACATCCCTCAACACCTGCACTGGCCCCACCCCCAGCCACAACAACTCCCCCACCCCAAAACAGCTGCAGCACTTCTCCTTTTGTCACTTTCTCTTTCATGCTCCTCTCTCCCCACAACAGCCTGGACCAGGGCCTGGCCCCTCCCATCCCTGGAGTGGATGAGGGGGGCCATTGGGGACACAGCCCTAAAAGGACGTGGCTGGGGTCACGTGGGGCCAGATGGGAAATTGCATTAAGCCCTGAGCTCACAAGGGAGGAGGAGAGTTCCCGCATCAGCTCCCCGTGAACCCACCGTGACACCAAACCAGTGAGCCCAGGAGTCCTGGCTCCCCACATCTCCTTTTCACCACTAGACCCCACTCCCCTCCCAGAGCCAGGGAGAACACCCAGGTATCCAGCCCCTTTGCTCTAACCACTAGACTTCTCTCCCTGGCTGTGGGAGGGGAGTGGGCTCAGGTGTCCTGGCTCTTCTGTGCACTTACAAATCCCAGCATACACTTGATCTCCTTGAGGGAACCCAGGCATCCAAGGAAACCCATCAGCATGGTGATGATGCCGACCCCAGACAGGACGTAGGACCAAACCTTCAGGGCATACATTGAGGAACCTGAAGGGACACAGGCAGAGCTCAGAGCAGGGCTGGGCCGGCAGAGGCTGCAGGTCGGGAGGGAGGGGCACCGGCAGGGCTTGGCCAGAGCCCAGGGCTGGGCCGGCAGGAGTGTGAGGGGCACCAGGAAGGTGTGTGTGGGGGGAAGCTCACCTAGGACGGCAGCAAAGCTGTGCTGGTCGATGAGGATCCAGAGGCCGAAGCTGAGGAAGAGGATGCCCAGGAGCTGCAGCGAGGGAGGGGAAGGGGGGTTACATCTAATCCTCCAGAGCTGAGGGGGGAGTCACCTTGGCATGGCTCCCCCACCCTGGGGCACGAGGAGTTAATAAGCTAGTTGGTGACTGGCCCCAATCCAGAGAGGCCTCCATTCCCCACACAGGGCCTCAGCTGCAGCCTCCCCCTCCGACCTCCCTCCCAGGGCAGGTCCCATCCACAGAGGCGCAGGTGATAGTAAAACGCCCCACAGTCCAGTCTCCCCCATGGGCCCAGCCAACCCCCTCCCCCTGACAGCTCTATACGCTCA